TTCTACTGCTACCTGCTGGCAGTGGTGACAATATAACGCTGTCTCTGTTGTTTCAGTAGGATAACAGTATTTCAGGAGTATTACTACGAAAAGCATGGTGTATTACTATGAATTTTTTTCTGAGATAAAGATGCCTGAGTCTGCTGAACGCTTATTTTTTGGCTTCAATGCGAACAATAAGCAAAAAAACTTTTCGAATGTAGGAAAAGATACCTTTTGAATAATCTTGTCTTCATTTGGGTTCAGAATGATCCGGAAAGTACCACCGTTTCCAAAAATCTTGTCAAATATTACTGGGAAATAAGTTGGAAAATATTTAGCATTTGGCGGTATATCATCCTTAATATACTCCTTTATTTCTGATAATGCATCGATGCCGTAATCCAACATCCAGCTGGTCAGATGCATGTGAGTAACCACCTGTTCACCAAAAGTACATTCAGCGTTTCGGTGTTTTATCAGTTCTTCTTGGCAGAAATCATTTAGGTACGTGCACGCGTCAGAGTCAAATCTCTGCTGCATGTAGTGCAAAATATAACGGCACCAGTCCAGCGGTTCACACGACACAGGTGCGACCTCCATAGTATCTCGGCTTTTATCAATTGTTACGTTACCGTTGGAATCTAGTTGAAGTGTTATAAAGATACCTCGTGGTTTGTTTGCAGTAACGCCGTGTGCAGAATAAATGGTAAAACATTTGTTCCGAATATCTTCTCGAATTCCTTCTGCCACTTCACAATGACTGCGGATCAAATGTGTACAGTCAACAACTCTTAAAGCAGCACGTAAGGCAGCTTCGTTAAATGTGAACGATGCTCCTCTAGATGATGGCATAAACGGCCTAAATCGTTAAGCGTATAACGTTTCCTTAGGTAAGCTAGTGGACTGCTGTAAATAAACCTTCAAATACAATTAAAACTTAATTTAATTATTTCTCAGTGCATCATCCAAGAACTAATTAGTAAGCAATCTTATAGAAAACATCTGGTTTTCTAACCGCTAACTAAGCATTATAAAAACTTTCTGTGGGCTTTTGCAATATAACGTATGAATACAATTATTACTAAAGTGCTCAATAACAATTCTTTTAACCGGAACAGAACGGCTACTTTTTTTGCATGGGGGCTGGATCTGCCCAAAGCAAATCCGTTATCAGGCATCCTTCCAAACAAGACAAATTCCGAAGCGCTACAGGGCGTTGGATCTCGAGCAAGCTGTCCTTTGACGACAACCATTGAGAGATGCCACCATGGCAGCACAGTACGGAATCTGAATTTCCTGGCTGTAACCGCTAATTTGAAATGACCTCATAGATATGTTTTTGTGAATTACGTCAGGAGTAAATATCATAATTGGCTAAGTAATGAATCAATTCAGCAGAACGTTTCAACTGGTTGCAGCAAATTAAACATCGAATGCTGGAAAATGTACCATCAACAATGGCTGCTAAGGGCATATAATCGAACATCCGAGCAAATAAGTAATATACCTTCTTATTGTTGTATGCATCTAAAACCTAAATCCCACATGTCTCAAGATATCTGTTAACAGATGTGAATTTTTAGATTGAAAAGACGTACAAAAAAAAAAATTTGTTTTAAAATTATGTAAAACCAATTAGTATATCTTTTTCGCTTATGATGCGTATTACCAGCGCTTTTTAATTCAAGCCCTTCTGTTTCAATCTTTCTCAATTTATTTTAACTTTTAAATTAAGGTGTAGTTTTATACGAATTGAACGGTACTGACACGGTTAATTCTATTTCAAAAACTTTTATAAACCGTCACTAATTGTTCCCATGTTTTGTCCTAATTTATTCTGCCATTTTATTCCAGTAATATTAGCATATAAATCAAAAAAGCTTAGCCTAAGTGAGTCGGGCTGTTGTATCAGTGATTATGAAATTTAACATTTGGCGGAATACCGCTCGTGATCTAGTCCTTAATTCCTAATTACACATCGATTTAGAATGTAGTTGATCAGACGCATATGAGTTACATTCAGCGTCACGGTGTTTCATTGGTTTCTCATAGTAAAAATCATCTAGGTGCGTACATCCATCTTTGTTGAATGTTTATTGCAGGAATTGCGGAATATGAGGGCGCCAGTCTAGCATTTCGTATGACACGGTTCCTCCACAGCATCTCGACTTTTGCCAATTTTAAGTTACCGTTGATGTCTAGCTTACGTCTTATAAAAGCACCTCGCGCCTTTTTTTTCAGTGACACCGTGTGCCGAATAAATGTTAACACATTTGTTTCAAGATAGCAGTAGTTGCAGTCAAAAGTTTTTGAAAAACAAGATAAGTAAAGGCTTACTGCACTGTAAAATTCATCGTTTGGGCTTTCCTCTGTGCTTTCATGCCTTCCGCGAAGCATATGTACATTGTGAGGCCAACGGAGTTTGAGTAAAAGGATCAACACCAAAGCGTCGAGTCGATAGTTTCCACGACCGCAGTAATCACCTGTAACCCACTTGTACTTATACCTTTCAGGCTTATTTTGCTAATAAATGACAATAACTTATGCACCTCGAAATTTTAGAACAACAGTTATCAAAATCTGAACATTAACTCAGGTTTTTTTTTTGCAGATATTCGCAACTTGTAAACGGAATAAATCTGTTTTTTTTTTTTAAGATACTGGTTCGACTACTTTATATGTTCCTAATAAGTTCTTTTCTTTTGTTCTAATTTACATAGTTGTTTCAGGCTCTTACAGTTGAACAATCGTAAAGCTTATTTAGTACCAGTTTTTGGATCTTTGAGAAATTCCTAATTGCTGACCAAGAAATATATAATCAACTGCTGGAGGAAGATCGCCGTAATAAAGTATGCTGAGCAAGTCATCAATACTGCTATGTAGATCACCAACAACAAGGCAGCGTTGTTTGATGCCTATTTGTAGTAATATAGGCGAAAGCCGGAACAGTTCGGTTCCATAGACCAAAAACTGAACGAACCAAGCCGATGAACAATAGCTAATGAATTTTTCTGTGATTTTATAATAAGTAAAGATTAGACTGCATGCAGTTCGGCAAAAAACTAGGTTCTTTTCTTATGATTCGATAACAAGTAAGAGTTCGATTTTGAATGTTACTTAAAAATGACAACAAACAATTGAGTACATTGAAAACGTTCTGCTATCAACATTTAGCGGAACTAACTTTTTACATAATCAGTAACATACCTTTATTAGTTGTTCTTGGGAAACTAATTTTTGAATTGGTGGCCTTCTACAAGCAGGATTCCCAACCAAGCCTTTCAACGCCTCTTCAATTTCTTCTTGAGTTAGTTCATAGGATTCGATTTTTAGTGGTGCTGGACTATCTTCGAGTTCAGTGTTTGCGTCATGATAATCCTCAGACATCTGAAAAACTAGCAAAAGAAATTGAGCAACTTTTAATGACAAAGGTTGCGTTAAAAATTTCATACAATAATTTGTTTCAATCACTGGAAGCATTCAGCTGTTAAACAACGATATCATAGCTTGCTATTACATTAGTACCAAATAAATAGTCAATTATCGTTACTTGCAATATTTCAGTTATTTTAAGCACAAAAATGTTGTTGTCCAATCAATAATTTATTTATTTATTTATTTATGTAATTTTTTGATTAAATGGGATTAGATTGTTTACAGTAAGCTAAAATGCAGAGTTTTAACATAGTTGTCTAACATCTGTAGATCTCCTTCAACAGTTTCTAGTTTTGTCACGTATTAATCGGTTTTTACAACTTACCTTTCAACGTGGCTTATCCAAAACAGTAACTTATTCAGTGGTTTCTTCTTTTTTTATTGGAATAATAGTTAAGATAAGTAATTAGGTTGTTCTGAAGACTTTTGCGTACCAAATAAATCAGAATTCTTTTCAGTCTTTCTGAAACTCTGCAAGCAGTAGTATCAGTTAATTTGAAGAATAGTTACATTTAATTCCTAACATCAATAAATTCAATTTTTTCTTTTCCAAATCAGTTAAAGATTTTTTTTTTATCAATACTGTTTTTGTTAATTCTTTTTCAGAAAGCTTTACAGAAAAAAAACTTGACTTGCAATGCAAATTATGTGGAACCCACCGCTCAATTTTTAGCAACAGAAACCAATTTTATAAAATGGGTAAACTTTACTGTTAAGAATGTTAAAATCTAAGATATGTTATGTAAATGTAATATCTAACGCAATCACAGGTGCTGGAAACGCTGATTCTGTAGCGCAGTAATGGCCTATTAGGTATGTTCATACACTAGACGACCAACCGTTTCACGCTGATGGATACATCACCGATTGACAACGACTCTGCTAAAGCTAATGACTATTTGCTTTTACAAGTCAAAAAATTTTAAAAAAAAAAAAACTTTTTTTCTTGAGAATTTTTATACATTTATATATCTATCATTGTTTTCCAGCTGTCAATTTAATTTTGATACGACTTTATCTTGAATCTTTATTAATTTTGCATTGTAAATACAACACCTTTTTTCTTGCTTCTTTCCTGCAATTCAAAAAAAGCATTTAGTGCATTCAACGCTTTTTCAGCGACTGGAAAAGTTAAATTTTCAGTTACAGCAAAAATTTGTTAAGAGATTCCCGAGTTTAACTACTCGACTAAACAGAGCACTGATCAAACTCAAAAAAAAAAAAAAAAAAAAA